TCACACATTCTCTGTCAATCTATTATTTCAAATTGTATTTTTAGCCAAATAATGGGGCTCAAACAAGGGCTATTAAAATAGTAAAATTTATTGTAAAATAAACATTAGATAAAAGCATAGACATGTGAAAAATAAATAGATCCATTTTAATTTTATTATGTAAACTGTGTTTCTTTTCTGACTTTGTTCTCGATAATAATTGCATTTGATGCACTTATTTGAGTCTCAATTCTTATCTATTTATTATTATTTTGAGCGAATATATGCTTAATTGAGGTTAAATTATATGAATTGCAAATAAAACTAGGATTGGACAAGTTTTGATGAAATTGGATTGAAGCAGCAAAAAATTGAGAAATTGAACCAAAATAATTAAGTCTTCAAGATAAGAAACTTCATTGCAAACAAAGAGGACCCAGTATGCGTGCGATAAGCTAAAACAAATTAATTCCAACTTTTGTTGGATTCCTAACTACAATCAAATTCTACATTAGACATACTTTGGGACTCCTTTTTAAAGTTTTTATAGACTTTTATATAAGTTCTAATCATTTTTTTATGGGATACATAATTTTAGAGAGAGAAAAGCATAGAGAACATAAAGGGAAAATAACTAAGGTTTGAAGCTTTTTTAGATTAAAGAAGATTTTTGATGCAATCCAATTTTTTTTTTCTTCATCAAGATTTCAAAACTTTATTATGATTTCTATTCTTTTCTATAGTTTTTCTTTCATTAGTAACAGTAGCTCGATCATTAGTTAGGACAAACTATGTTATCTACATCTGACCCTTTAATTTTAATTTTCAATTTTCTACTAGTTTAATTTTCATGTAATGAATTTGTTTATGGGGTTTAATATTTTGGATTACTATGCTAGTAATTCGATGATTTGTGAATCTACAATAAATTGGAAGGTAAATTACATAATAAAATTTAATAATTAATATAAAAGTATAGAGATATCTTTTCTAGTTAGTGCAGTCGGTGCATGAACTCTTAGAGATTTAAGGTGTATCCGAATTTACATAGATATATAAAATTGACTTAATTAAATAAAATCAATTTGAACTCGAGAGAGATAAATTGAATGTGTTAGACGAATTCGACTGAACACTACAATAGTCATGAATTTTGATTACCAAATTAAGGGGGATCCTTAGATGAAATCATATGTCCTAGCATCGATAATCATATTTTAAAACTAATTTAATTAATTGTGTGCATTAGAGAAATTTAGTTTAATTTACATAATTTAGATAACTAATTACAAACTATATTCTTTATTTTTCTTCAAATAAGAGTTAGAAATAATAAATTAAAATAAAACTATAGTTGTCATGGGAACGATAATTTAGACTGTTAGGTAGTGTTTGATTGTTATTTTTTTTTTCTCCATGAAAAATGGAATTTGGTTGCCATTTTCCAACTTTTGCTTGTTTGATAGGGTTATTTTTTCCATGGAATTGAATTTCCCCATTTTATTGAAGTTCGTTATTTTCTTGGATTTTTTCCCTTTAACTAACAATTTCCATATAAAATAAAGTCAAATGAACATCAAAATATATATGATTTTCTTGATTTTTTTTGTTGGCAATGAAAACAAATTTCATCAGTAAATTCTATCCATTTAATTGACAATTTTCATGTAAAACAAAGTCAAACGAACACCAAAAAATACTTTTATTTCAACATTTTTCACGTGAAAAATTATATCAATCAAACACAATAATTTACAATTCCCAAGAAAATAATTTCCAGGCAATTCAATTCTCTGGAATTCGTTTTCTTTTTACCAAAATTCCATCTTTGTAATCAAACGGACCCTTAGATCCATTATATTACTTATTACATTTTTTATATTTGCAGGGTATAAAATCAATAACAGCTATCTTTAGTTGAAAGAGCAGTCATAAATAAAACTAATAAAAGGGTTATATTAACGACAATGAATAAAAGCTATGAGACTTTCATTCAATTAAAATGTGATACACCTGGAAAAGATTTGATGTCAATATCTTTAGCCTAATAAAAGTTAGCAAACATACTACAGATACCAGTCGGGGTTGAATACCGAAATTTTTATGGATCCGATAGCATTGGAGCTGTGAAAAAATTAGATAAATGTTCAAAGGTATAGAAAATAAATGGATCCTTTTAATTTGGTTACGTAAATTGCGTTCCTTTCCTCAAAATTTTCCTCCTTTTAGTTGAAATAGCATTCCATTCCCATGTGTAGTTTCTTACCCCAAAATCCAGTTTGGTTGTGGACGGTGGGGGATTTGCCCAATGCTTTGCACTCCCCCATCCTGACCGCCCATCTCTGCCTCCTACATTGGTAATCTCTCTCTATTTTCTGTCCCTGTGCATGCATGGCTGCATATACATTCGTTTAGACTTGATTATAGAATCTTGCACAACATATATGCTATCTCGATTGTCCACAAATCTCCTTGGTTCCTTTATCGGATGGATTTGAATAAAAGAGATACAAATATGATTCAAGGATTGAGACCAGAAAAAACATGGATCCTCAGTTGGAGCTGAACAAAGATGATGGGCCCTAAGTTGGAACGTGATGGATCCCCAGTTGCAGCCTTTATGGAGCATGTGATCCTTCCAGGTTTGGAAGGGGCTGGATAACATAGTGCCTGGTTCAAGGAGATTGTTGGGAGAGTGCGAAGAAAGTCTCACATTGATTTTTTCTGAGATAAATGATGGACTACTCTATCTGATGGATTAACGTTTTAGGATGAAACCTCAATTCTCTAAATTCAATATATCTAAATTCCATTGCCCTAGTCAAATTCTTTGTAACTGTTTAAAAAATATTTCTCTGCTTCAAGATAATGTACACGATGACTGTGAATATATTATTTATGGTTCCCGAAACATAGCCACTGTTATGTAGAGATTATTCGCATGTGAAAAGTGATACATTGCTCCATTTTGTGAAATCTTGCCTTTTTTTTTTTTTTTTTTTTTTTTTTTTTTTTTTTTTTTTTTTTTTTTTGCGTAGTTTTTTTTATTAGAAGATACCTTATAAATTTTATTTTTGCCCCCCTAACCCAAGTCGTCTGGGTCCGCCCCTGATCTTGCCCCCCTTTTTTTTGGCAGAATGTGTGGCTAAAACTTAAAAAGTAGGGAATTTTTTTTGATTTACGTATAAAATTATTTTATTGAGAAATGCGTGGTTGAAAATGAGTTCTAGAAAAATTGGGCCAAGCAAGTGCATAAAATTGCCACAGGGAAAGCACAAGAATTATTTTATTTCTTATTAATTTGCTAACCATAAATAAAAAAAATAAAAATTGGAAATTTTAACATTTCTGATTGTTTGCTTGTTTTAGAAATGCTCGAGCATTCTTCAATTCTAGGCAGGCAGGCTTGTTAGAGGGAATGGAAAGCATGAGTGGATCAAGCAGTGGCAGGCAGGATCTGAGTTCTCCTTTCGGCTTCCACGATTCATCCATATCCTACTTCAATTCTTCCCCAGTAGAATCACAAGGAAATCCTTCAATGTGTTCAGAAAATTTTCATCAACGATGTTCGTCTGAAAGCTTTCTTATGGAGGAGCAACCATCTTGGCTAGATGATCTCCTGAACGAGTCAGAATCACCAGTACTTAGAGGTCACCAGCGCTCAGCAAGTGATACTAATGCATACCTTGGACAAGCAGTAAGGACATTTAACATAAGGGACCAATCCAAATATGAAAATGCATATATTGGAACTTCAATAGGATCTAGAAACTCAGTACATTGCATAGATTCAGACAGCACTTCCATCGAGACCAAGACATATTCATTGGAAGAAACAAATAAAAAGGTTTTGAGAGCAATTCTATTCTTTTTCTTTTTCTTTTGGTAAACGACAATGTTTTCAAACATAAAACTGCTAATTTTTTGCAGGAAGCAAATAAAGTATTATCTACTTCAGCTGAAGAGAAGAACAGAGAGGAATCTACTCCACAAAACCTCGAGGGCTCTACCGAGAAAGCTAATGGCTCACAAGCTAAGCCTTCTGCACCCAAGATTGATGCAAACCGTGCTAAACAGTAAGTATTCGGATCACAGCCTCAAACCAATAGTATTTGTTGGAAAATAATAGAGTGATGACTTTAAAAACCAAAACAAACTAACCAACCTTACCAAAATTCGAACAGAATAACAACTACAAAATAAACAAGAAAAAGTATGCCAACAAAGATAACGCCAAATGAAATGGATGCAATAGTTGAACTATTTGTCGTTAAGTCGATTTTGCCTGGCAACAATGCCTACAGATGATGGCAATCAAGTTCCAAGATACAACAACTATCTTTTTGTTTTAGTAGCACTCTAAAACATAAGATTAGCAAAACAAAAATGGATTTTGTACTCCTTTTCCAATGGACAAAAGAAACCAGAATTTTGGTAGAGAAAGAAGAAAATAATGTTATGCTATGATTGCATATCATTGGAATGAAGAAATGGACATTCCAAGGGTCCTATTTATAGAAGAGAGGTTGTGAGTGAAAAGACACGGTCCAAAACTCTGCAATCTTTGCCAAGGGTCACAGATTTTGCTGTTGCTCACTTGTTACCTTTGCATCACTTGAGCGTAGAAACAGTGAGCTCATCGCTCGCTTGTCGCTACTTTATCGCTCGAGCGTCAAGCTAGCACTAGGCTAGTAGTGGAGTTGGTTGATTTTTCAGCCAGTTTTCCCTCTTTTTCTTTCCAAATTTGGACCACAATTTTTCATTTATTGAGAATCGAGAATTGATTTTGAGATTCCAAATATATCACAACGATCTACTTGACGAGTAGAACAAGTTATCTATTTATATTTGTAATTTGATTATTGGATTAAGTCCAAATGTTTGTTCGAAATGGACACGAATCACTTTTCCCATGTTTTATACTTAACCAATTCCAACAATCTCCCACATGAATGGAAATTCACAACATGCAATACACAATGCAAATGATATGCAGACTTTAACAAAAGGAGAATATATGACAAGTTATAGCATCAAGATAGGTGGCTTATGGCTTTGAACCTTTCTTAGTTGAATGCAATCAAATTTACTGGGCTAACTGGTGAACTCGATGTCCTAAACCATTCAACCTTGTAAATTAAAAGAACTATACCAATACCATAACTTAACTAAGTACTTTGATTCTCATGGTTGTGTTCATTTTGGCTTTGAACAACTCTTGATTTCATAAGTATTTGAAGAGAATTAACTCTCAAATTCTCATAGAAACGACCCCACTTCACACTCTCATAGATGATCTACTACCTTTCTTTCAAGGAATAGGAATCATTAAAAGTATGTAGTTATTCTTATATAAAGTTTTGCTCTAGCACTTAAGGTTGTAAGAATGGGAGTAAGTACTTTACTCCGAGTCTTTCATAACTTAGTCATCCATTGAACCATGATCTTGGGATTTCCAATTTACAAGGTTGGGTTTCCGTTATGGTGATCCCATTCAATAATCTTTAGGTCCATTCTCCTTGAAAAATGGTATAATTGATCTCTTCTAAGTCCTTTCGTCAAAGGATCCGCTAAGTTTTCGTTTAGTTTAACATAATGGATTGAAGATTGTACCATTTGATATCAACCATTTAATGGTGTTATGTCCTCAATGTATATATCGAGATTTACTATTGTACATACTATTTTATGCCTTTGCAAATTGCTGAGTGATTACCACAATGGATATTATTCGTAGGTACCAATTTTTCCAAACATGGAGTATCATTGAGAAAATTAGCCATTCCACTTCTTCTTTAATTTTATCTAAAACAATAAACTTAGATTCCATTGTGGATCGAGCTACACGTTTGCTTAGATAATTTCCTAGACACAACTCAGCCCTCAATGGTAAATACATAACCACTTGTAGACTTTGAATCCTTTGTATTAGATACAAATTTGCATTAGTATGTCCTTCTAGCACTGCAGGATATCTTAAGCTATGTAATCCATACCCAACCATGTGTTTTAAGTATTTAAGTACTCGAGTTAATGCTTTCGAATGATCAATACTCGGATTAGTTGTAAGTCCACTCAGCTTGTTGACTATATGTGCTATATTCGGATGCGCACAGTTGGTAATGTACATCAGAGGATCACCAATATATTTGGCAAACTGTAAACCTAAATCTACCGGTGTCTTAATTGATTTATCATCATACGCCTTAAATTTCTTAAGCATAACCTCAATATATTGTGATTGATACAATGACAAACCATCAAGTGTCTTAGAGATCTTAATCCCTAATATCACATCCCCCTTCCATATCTTTTATGACAAAATGTTTTACCAACATTTTCTTAGTTGAGAAATTAGCGTTCGAGTTATTTCCCAAGATTAGCATATCATCAACATACAGGCATACAATCATGTATTTGTTAGGTGTATTTTTTATGTAGACACATTTGTCACATACATTAATTTTAAAGTCGTTTGACAATATAGTTTTTTTCAAATTTTTTATGCCATTACTTCGGTGTTTACTTTAATCTATATAATGATTTTACTAGCTCACACACATTCTTCTAATTTTTCGGAGCAATTTTTCTATATATTTTTTCTTCTAATTCTCCATTTAGGAATGTAGTTTTAACATTCATTTGATATATTTAAAGATTATGCAATACCGTGATTGCGATCAATACATGTATAGCAGTGATCCTAGTGATAGGTGAATAGGTATGAAAAAAATCTAGTCCTTCTTTTTGTCTATATTCCTTGGCTACTAATCTAAGCTTATTATCTATTGATTCATCCGATTTCAATTTCTTTTTGAAGATCCACTTGCTGCCTAAAGCTTTGTTTTTCAGAGGGAGTTCAACCAATTCCCAAGTATGGTTATTTATGATGGATTCAATTTTATTATTAATCACTTCTTTCCAAAAAGGAGCTTTGGGAGAAACATTGTTTCGTCAAATATCATTGGATCATTTTCTAGCAGATGTGTTACAAATTATGGACCAAAGGTCTAACCACATCTTTCCAAAAAGGAGCTTTAGGATAAACATCGTTTCGTCAAATGTCCTTAGATCATTTTCTAGCAGATGTGTTACAAATTATGGACCAAAGGTCTTATAAATTCTTTGCATTTTACTGCGCTTATGTTCTTAATCTACTTGATGATTGTCATCTTCTTGATGGTTTCCATTTACAACATTAAAAGTTCATTTGTGTGAACTTATTTCTTTTTTCTTATACAAAAAGATATCTTGAAAGAAACCATCATTCATCGATTCAAGGATAGCACCTTCATGTACATCAAGTTTTTCTGATTTATAAGCTAGAAATTGATATGCATTACTATTATTTGCATATCCCATAAAGACAAAATTTGTTATCTTAACTCCAATCTTTACTTGCTTAGGTCTAGGTATTTGCACATTTGCTAAATATCCCCGCACTTTTAAGATATTTTTAGGAATGTTTTCAACTTTTCCATAATTCGTAAGGCAAGTCAATATTACTTTTGTGTGATATTTAATTAAAGATATAATTTGCAAAAGGAATAGTTTTTCCCCACAAGTTTGAGGTAAGCGTGAATTAATTAACATAACATTCATCATTTTTTGAAGGGTTCGATTTTTGTGTTCAGCAAACCTATTGGACTGAGATGAGTGTGATGTGATAGTTTGATGAATAATTCCAAATTCTGAACAAAATTCTTCAAATGGAGCGACATATTCTTCACATTGATCACTACGAATCATCTTTATTCATTTTTTAAGTTGATTTTCAACTTCAATTGTATAGTCCTTAAGCACTTCTAAAGCTTCATCTTTGCTATTCAGCAAGTGTACATAGCAACATCTTGTACAATCATCTATGAACGTGATGAAAAATACTATTTGCCACGTTTTGTTTGTACGAACTTTAAATCACATATATTCGTGTGAATAAGTTCTAAAGGTTTTGTGCTTCGTTCAACCGAGTGAAAAGGTGTTTTGACAATTTAGCCTCCATACAAATTCTGCATTTTCCATTGTTAAAATGCATACTAGGTAATAAATTTAAATTCATTAACTTGCGTATGACTTAAAGTTTTTATGTTCTAATCTATGATACCATAAATTAAACAACTTAAGAATATAAACAGATGAAAATATTTTATTCCTTAAGTTATTCGTTACAATAGTAAGGACATACAGTTTGAATAGTTCATCTTTTACATAGCTTTTACATACATACATATTATTCTTGGTAAGTATATACTTATCGGACACAAAAACTAGTTTGAAATCCATTCTTGTTTAATAAAGAACCTGATACTAATTTCTTATGAATATCTGAAACATGAAAAACATTGTTAAGGATAAGTTCCTTGCCCAATGTCATCTTCAAGATTATTTTGCCTTGTCCTTCCACTTTTGAAGTTGAGGAATTTCCCATGAACAATTTCTTACCCTCGGTTAGAGTATAGGAAGAGAACATTCATTTGTCAGCACATATGTGGCAAGTAGTACTCGTACCAGTTCACAAATCCATGGGGTTTCCAACATTGTTGCATTCTGAAATAATGGTCAATAAATTTATATTTGACATACCATCAAATATAGCTTCAGATTTGGTAATATTCGCTTGGGCTTGCTTTATAGGTGTGCGACAATCGATAGAGTGATGTCTAGCATTTCCACAGTTATAACAATTGCCCTTAAATTTCTTTAGATTCTTCTTAGAAGGTTCGATGGAATGCTTTCTTTTCTTGCTCTTATTATTGGAATTCACCACATTAGCTTCATCTTGTAGCGTGTGACTCCTAGCACATTTGTCCAAATTTCGATTATCTTTTCAATTCTCAACTGGATGACGAATTCTTCAATATTCATCTTCTTATGCTTATACTTGAGATAATTCTTGAAGTCCTTCACATTGGAGAAAGTTTCCTGATAACTGCAACTACTTCAAATGATTCAGTTAGAGACATGTTATCTGTGTGAATGCCATGGAAAATTACTTACAATTTTCAATTTTCGTACTTGACTGATGACCATCTTTGAATATACTATTTTGTAGTCCAAGAACTTTCTGACAATGAACTTTTTCGTTCTAGTGTCTTCAATCTTGTATTTCTTCTCCAATAACTCCCATAGTTCTTTTACATATTTCTTGGAACAATATAGGCTATACAATGCATTGTCCAATACATTCAGAATGTAATTCTCGCATAAGAAATTTGAATATTTCAAATAATCCAATGCTATTAGTGATGCCATGTTATTTTTTCCTTCTTGCACGATGTGAACATCTTCATTTAAAAACTTTGCCAGATGTAAGGTTGTGAGATATAACAACATTTTTTGTTGCCATCTCTTGAAGTCGACCCCAATAAATTTCTCTGATTTCTCTCCATTTGGAAAAAGAGTTCGTATGAATGGTAAGAGGGGTAACCGCAAACAGATGGATCTTATCGGTAGGAACAATTCCTTTTGAAGTTCCCAGATTTGATAAATCTTTATCCTTAGCAATCTGCAAATCTTGTCTAATCATTATATGCAATATCATTGTTTGCGATATTGAAAGTATCATTCGAAATGGAGTCGGTACTGTAAACAGTATTCATTTCTGTTGACACAAAATAGAAGATGAACCACAAATCAAATTTGAGGAGGAGTAGAAGATGTTAAATCGAAGTGAAATCAGTTTAACGAATAAGATGAAGTTATCATTCCAAAAATTGATTTAAGATTGTTGAAAAAATAATAGAGTAATGACTTTCAAAACCAAAATAAACTTACCAACCTTACCGAAGACCGTAGAAAATTACGACAAAGAAATAAACAAGAAAGTATGCCAACAAAGATAACGCCAAATGAAATGGATGCAAAAGTTAAGGTAAGAGTTGAACTCTTTATCCATGATGACAATCAAATCCCAAGATACAACAACTCAAATCCCAAGATACAACAACTATCTTCTTGTGTTATTAGAACTCCAAAACACAAGATCAGCAAACCAAGAATGGATCTGTTCTCCTTTTTGAATGAACAAAATAAAACCAAAATTTATGCATAGCTCAGCTGGTAGAGCTCCTCTCTTGCTAGAGAAGTGTGTATTTAGCCAAAATACATGCAATAGAATCTCTTGATTGGTCTGAGGTATCGATAAAAAAGATTTGTCTAAGTCACTTCGTTTCATATCTATGATTATGATTTTACGTATGAACAATTCATCAATATCTTGTTCATCAAGCCAACTTTTCTTTTTGGGATGTGAAAGAAAATAATGTTATGCTATGATTGCATATTGTTGGGATGAAGAAATAGACGTCCCAATGGTTCTATTTATAGAGGGTGAGATGTTTTGAATGAAGAGACACATCTCAAAACTCAGCAATCTTTACCAAAGGTTGTAGCTTTTGTTGTCACTCACTTGTTGCCTTTGCATCGCTCGAGCATAAAAACACTGAGCCCATCGTTGGCATGTAGCTCAAATGCCATGCTAGCCTTAGGCGGGCGGCGGAGTTGGTTGATTTTTAGCCAATTTGTCCTCTCTTTCTTTCCAACTTTCGACCATAATTTTTCATTCATCCGAATTAATTTTGAGATTCCACATATATCATGATGATCAACTCAACAAGTAGAACAAGTTAATCTATTTACATTTGGGATTTGACTATCAGATCAAGTTCGAACATTTCGTCGAACTTGAAACGAAGTCACTTTTCCCATGTTTTCTACTTAACCAATTCCAACAGTCTCGACAATAAACACATGTTTCTATGCAATTATTGCTTACTATTGGAATTATTCATGTCATCATATGACAAATCTGATTTGCATCCTAAGATATTACAATGTAGGAATACCGGTCACCGATCATGGGTGAAAAAACTTCGGTACATAGGTCAACTGGAGAGAACCGTCCAACTTCTACAGGTAAAGGATATATTGAAGAATTGCATATATTAGTTGTACATTCAATTTATTTATTTATTTATTGTTGGCGGTTCAAATACTTTTCATCTTTTCCTGTTTTCTATATAATAGGATGAAAGATGTAAGGTCTTAGCCGAGGTTGAGTTCCTTGAGCAGCATAATACTATATTGACCATGGAAAATAAAGCGTTGAGACAACGCCTGGAAAGTTCATCGCAAGAGCTGCACATAAAACACTGTAATTCTTTCGTTTACATAGGAGCTTCGCCTATGATATATATGTAGGGCTGTCAATGGATTGAATTTTGATTTGAATTCGATTAAATTAATAGGAGATGTATTTAAAGTCTCAATCTGATAATCTGATTAAGATCCAAATATGATAATTCGCTAACTAATTGAAAAAAAAATGGATATAAGTTAATCTAGTCCGATGACAATCCAACCTGATTTTTTTATAATAGTATAATATATTTAATTATCGCATAATTTATTACACATAATTTTTTTTTTTCATTTTGAAACTTGTATTATATTTTACACATAATTTTCAAGTAACAAGTAATATTAGATGATACTATAATATTGTTAATTGAAATATTTGGAGAATTTTTAATTTCTTATTAATTAAAATAAGATAAAAAAATAATTAATTTATTTTATGAATTAAATAATCAAATGGGCCAACAACTAGAATTGCTTCCAATGTAATCCATTAATGGGTGGGCCAAGAATTTGGTAAAAAGTTATTTGGACCTTTTAATTTTAGGGTTTAGAAGTCGATTAATATAAATTTTTGTCTTTTAAATTTCTTAAATTTTGGATCGTATTATCTAATTGGATACCCAATAACATATAAAATTGGATATGGATTGAACAATCAAATATCTGTTGGATTATCGGATCGAATCGGATGTGGGCAGATCCGATCCATTTACAGCCCTATATATATGTTGTCCTAGGAACAATCTTTTGTATGATTTTGTTCTTATTACAGATTTTTGAGTAATCAAAAGCGAATTTCTACAGTGGAGCAAGAGATATTAAGTGGAGAAATTGGGAGGATGCAAACTCTGTTTCAACTACACTTGCAACCTCCAATACAGCTGCAGTTGCCACAACATAAACATCATTCCAAACAACATCGAAACAAAAGTCGAGGTTTTAAACCAATTAAGTAGTTTCTATATGAAGAATATGAACTTCGATTCCAACGGGAGTTCAGCTTAATAATTGAGCACGGATCTGATATCACACTCCAATTCTCACTCGCTAAAAACTCTCCATGTTGTTTACCTTCTACTGTTTCCTTTTTATTCCTTTTTCGTTTTCCTTTTTCCTGTTGCCACCACTTCTTCATCACGTGATATATTATGATCTAGTTATAGTAGTGCGTTTATGAAATTTTAGCTGTCTGCTACAATTAGTATACTAGAATTTTAGATTGAAAGACTGATGTGAAATAGTAGTGAATTTGCAGCTAATCTAAGTTGATTGTTGATACTACACCAATTTCGTGAGTTTCTTAATAATATGCATTTATAATTTGGATCATCTGTTAAATTGACCAAACTACTTTGATTCATTCTAAAATTCATTTCAGATTATTTGCTAGGTGCATGTTTTGTTGTAGATTAAACAAATCATCTGTACTACAACGCAAAATCAGAAGAACAAAATGTAGAAAACACACACTATAATTTGGGAATTGCTAAATCTACATAGTGCAACTACAAAATGAATTACAATGGGTTTTGGACTCACGATTTACTGTATTTTCTATGTACTATGATCTAAGTAATCGAGGCTCATTCTAATATCATTTATATCTAAGTAAAATATTAGGTCAAACCTATACCATGGGAAACTGCAAATTACATTATGCTCCACACAACCAACATGTTTGGACATTACAACATAGTATAAGATACAAGACTATAACTTCTTTTCTTTCTTAATACTATGTACCGTTATCAATTCTACAAGTCATAGTTGTACTTAAATGAAATCATTTCTGTTTTATTTTCTACTTACGAATGTAGAGTTCCTATTATAAGGACAGACGAAGTGTATAGACGAAAACTTGATTAATTGAAAACAGATCATAGCAATCAACTTAGATAAATAAATGAATGAACGACTCATTAATCAAAATTTGAAAGTGAAAATTACACAACACCCTACTTTTAAAAATCTGTATTTGGGCAGTTTCACTTTTCAGAAGTCAGAAATTTCATATTTAAATATTAAATATACAATTTTCATCCCAACCCTAATATTTTCATAGCATTCTATCTCTCCATCTCCTCTTACTTTCCTTCATCACCTATCCCTACTACTGATGCCACAGACTCATCACTGGGAGCCACCACCGGTGGATAACGCCCACGTTGTCGACTATGATGATGATACCACCTAAACCTTAAATATTGTCATAGCATTTTCCCTCTATCGGCGATGCTGTGTGGTGTGTTGGAATGCACTAATAATCTTCCCTAATTTTGATTTTTTTCAATAGCCAACGCGGTGCTATATGATGGTGCAATGTAGTGCTGTGTGTGTTGTGATTGTGTAGTGTGTGGCTGTATGGTGTGGTGATATTGTGCTGGTGTGGTGCCGTGGTTGTGGAAGAGGTGGTGGTATTGGTGGCGTGGTGGTGGCTATGGCTCTACGGCGGTGGTGTTTGACGACGGTACAATGGTTAGTTCTTATGGCATTAAGTTCCAGCCGTCGTCTTCATCTGATTCTCTGATTTTGGATCTTATTTTTGGTGTTTGGTTGGTGCTGGTTGTGATGTTGGAGTAGTTTGGTGTTTGGTTTTTCCAATATCCTGTTCTTAGCCAAAAATTCTTTATCCACTCTGTGATTTTTGGTGTTTGGTATTTGATTGGTGGTGGTTGTGATGTTAGCTGTGGGGGCGATGGGTCTATCGGGGGTGGTGATGGATCTGACACAATGAGGTAGTGGTTTTTTTTTTTTTTTTTTTTTTTTTCTGTGGTTTTTTTTTT